GGTTTACCCACTCTGTGACAGGGCCAATCAACAGCTAAGGCAAAGCTGCTTTCCCTAAAAAGAAGAAGAAGAAAACCTCATAGGCAGGCAGTTTATTATCTGCTTGTCTAAGGAGGCTTCGTTATGTTGTTCATTACAGCACTGTCTAGACTGCACCGCAGTAACAAAATGTGCTGCTGACATACGTACTCCTACTCTGGCCAGATTCCTTCAATAGCCCCATACGTGCAGTACGGCTACGGCATCCCCTCTTTGTTGAAATTCATCTCATTTTGCTTCATGCTTCATCTTGGAACATAGACGGACCAACTTCTCTGACCTAATGCAGTTAATATCTTGGAGAAGCAATGGTCCATGCTGTAAACACCTAACAAACACATACAATGCCTCGCTTTGTGATTTTATTCGTGGCATATGCAGCTGTGAGCATCTGCTGTGGATAATGCACGCTAGAATCTTCTAGTATGTGCGTAGCCAGAAATATTCATGGATCTGGGATAAAGAGGGACTTTTTTGATTAGTTTCTTTCTTTAAATCTAGAAAATTGGCATTAGGGTATCTTTGTCATTTAATTGATAACAGAATAGAACATTCAGCACTGATCTCTTTAAAATACTGAGAAGAAAATATAGTTTATTTCTTACATTTACTTGCAAAGCTAACACACATTCTCTTTTCTTTGTTAAAAAGACTGTGGATTTCATTAGGTTGTTGAGCTGTGACATACAACAGTTTAAGCTACTCTGCTTTGCTTCAGGTACTACCATTACTTCTAATCCTACGCCTTTCATGTAAAATGAAGAAAACATAAAGCACATTCCTGTGAATGCTTTGATTACATATGAAACAAAACCCGAGGTAGGGACAACATGGCATCTGAGTGATAAGAAAACTAACTCATTAGATCTCGTACTGAGGAGTGGAGTTCTGTAGGAATTTTAAGAGTATATCATTTAAAACCAAACTGCCGACAGATGTTTGCTACAATACTTGTTAGAGGGCTTCGTTATTTTTATAACCTTTTAAATTCCTCTGATTTATAGAAAAAGGCCATTTAAAGTCCATAAAAGTTAATCCCAACCATGGAATTATTTGCCTAAAACGAAATTTCCTCCCTTTGCTGAGGGCTTTGCCCACATGAGGAACAGTTAAAGGGCAGCTGTGCAGGGCTACCTGCTGCCTGAAGGCACTGAGTCCCCAGACTGTTCACACAAGGTCTGCAGGGGCCCTTGCCTCAGTTTCTGAGGGTCTCAAACAAAGTCTTTACACAAAAGTAAGGCATATTCTTCCTTGGGTACTTCCTGAAGTTAAGCCAAAATCAAAAAAGTCTTCCATGCATGCAGAGTGTGCAGTCGTCAAAGATCAACGATTTATCTCAAACCCTGTTTCCTCCATCACCTCTGATAACACGGGGCCTCTAAGATTTAGCTTCATTACCAAATTTTGCCCCTCGCATACCAGACAGTTCATAGGCTGGTTTAAAAAAAAAAAAAAAAGTCACAAGAATGTTTTTATAATGGAAAAGGGATTATAGGTTATGGGTTTTCCCCTTTATCTCTCAACAATATCCATGGAAATATTGTTCTCACCACCAGGTCACTCACAATGACCAGTTACAGCACAAATTACGGTAGTCACTAGACAATATTTTAATTGCACAGACCTATCTCTTCAATTAAGCGTCATGACTAAATTTCATGCTAGGCTGGAGCATGGTAAATATTTGCTGAGAGCATGTTGTTTGCTTTTCTGTCATGGTGATTAATGCAAGCTAATTGGCAATCAACTCAAATTACAGCAGGACAATACTGGAGATTGGATGTAGGGATTGTGTCAAGACAGATTTTTTCCAAATAGATAGGATTTATGGCAGCCAAATCTTGTTTCAGATTCACCAGTTTCAGGAGTTAAACTACTCTGCTCCACTGTGCAGCCTCTCTAGACTGTGATTTTTTTTATCTAATTTTTATATCAAAATTTAACCAACTCAGTCCAGTACACATGATTTTCTAACATACTTTGCAGCACATGGCTTCATGACTTCCGTGCTAGCTGGATCTACTTCAGGTGTTTCAGGTCTTCTTAGATTTTCAAGAAGCTCAGTTTTTGTCAACTCAGCAGCTGTACAAACCTTTACAGAAATGGTGAGAGCAGGTATCTCCTCCCAGTGCAACATGTGCCTTTCCTCCTGAGCAGCCGGTTGCTTGTGCAATGTCTCTTCCCATCTTTTTAACGTGTGAGCAGAATGTCCTCCTGCCTCAGGCACTAATCACTGCTACGCCTCTACTCTGGTTAGACGAATTTCTTCCTTGGAAGGCCCTGAGGATTGTGGCTCATGCAGCAATCGATCCCCTTTCCCACACTGAACTTTCTTTTTGTCTTTGTCCTTAGGCATCGTTTTGCCTCTAGGAAATGGGATTCCAGTTCTTTTCTTACAAATCAGGGCTCTGGCTCACAAACTGACCTGCTACAACAGAGTGGCTCGAATGGAAATATGGGAGTGGAGTTATTTGGTCTAGTTACCAGTTGTTGTTTACTAGAAGAGCAAGAACATAATGTTTTAATATCCCAACCCATTATGACCTGGTTTAGATATAACCAAACATCAAAGCTAACCAATGAGAAACAGATAGTACAGCATTGACTCACTCACTGTATTATTCTATAGAAGTGTGGAGACATATAATTATTTTTCTGAACCAAAGTTTTATTTGAAAACAAAAATGTTCACAATCTGGCTTTATGGCTTGTTTTCGTATTTTGGCATGGTATATTGTATTGGAAAAAAAGGTCTTTAATTAAAAGCAGCCTTTTGAACATTACCCCAGACTTCAATTTTCATCTCCTGTTTTACTGCTTCTCTCCGTGTCCCCCCTCCCTCCCTCCCACATATACTCCATGTGTTTAACCCACCCTTAAAAACTTTCATCGCGTCCTTCCCTATTGTTTTGCGAGTCCTTCTCTGAGGTCTCCGTGCCTAGACGACACCCTCTGAAGACTGTCCGTGCAGAGTGTAGTCCCTGCATACTGTTTTGGGTCTCCTTGCTGTCCCCCCAGAGTGAGTGGATGTGCTGCCAGGGCTGATCAGGAATTTCATAATTACATTTCTACCCAGCTCATGAGTGCTTTGCTGGTGTCACCAGGAGCTAAAGGGAGATGGCCTCTCACACGCTGCCGGGGCTTCTGCTCAAGTTAGCAGAGCGAGAGCATCACAGAAGGGCTGAGGCTGATCTGAGACCAGACAGTCTGATCTTGAGATGATCTAGTCCATCTCTCTGCTCAAGGAGGGTCATCTAGAGCTGCTCGCCCAGGACTGTGTTGAGTTTGATTTTGAATATCTTCACAGATGGAAGCTCCACAAGCTCTCTGGGCAACCTGTGCCAGTGCTCAGTCACCCAGTCAGTAAAAAAGTGTTTTCTCAGATTCAGATGGAGTTTTCTGTATTGTGCCCATTGCCTCCTGAGCACCAAAGCAGAGCCTGGCTTCATCTTCTTTACACCTCCTATCAACTATTTATACACGTTGATTAGATAGTCCCTCAGCCTTCTCCAAGCTGAATGGTCCCAGCTCTCTCAGCCTCTCCCTGTATATCAGACACTTTAGTCACTTGATCATCTTTGTGGTCCTTCACTTGTCACTCCAGTAAGTCCATATCTTCCTTGTACTAGGGAGCCAGGATATTACAGGAGAAAAAGGACAACCTGCTGGCTAAGGACATTGACTGCCATCTTGTAGACATAAATGAACTACTATTTATCAGCCCAAAGTTCTCATAAAATTTTGGCTTTAATCTCTTTTTGTTTCACTATTTAACTACAAAGCAGACATAACAATACTGTCTACTATCAGTGAGTTGCTGGATGAAGACACATTTTTGCCAGTGCCCATGCTAAGGTCTCAAGTGCTTTTCTGAGCGCAGTGGGTACAATTACCTGTGATCCCTCATATGCTTCAGGGTAAATGAGAAGCCAGACTTTAGGGAAAAGGTTCATTTCCACTTGCCCTGCACACCTGCGGCCGTGCTATTGACAGCAGTGGAGTTCTTCAGTGACTTGCACACATCTCAGGTGTACATGGTGTGTACAGCTATGCTAAAGACACGTGACATCACTTTGCATCAAATAAGAAGAAATATTGAACAGATGTATTACCAGAGAGGCCAGAGTCCCATGGAAGAAAGTACCAAAGCCTACAATCTATCTGTGCTACAATGCAGGTGTGTATCGGGAGTAGGATGAAGGTAGTGGAAAGTAGTTTTTAAATCATGCCGACACCTTTTGGGGATCGCCAAAACAAATCATTTACGTTACGATTAATAATGAGTGACGTGCAGCCAACTCCGTAGGAAAGCTCTCAGCTCCACCCTTGGCACCATTTAATGAGCCGAGGTTGAACAAGGCAGTGTCAGAGCTGTAAGCAAGATATGTGTCCTAGCATGGCACTCCAGTAACGTGGGTGTTCATCGCCCGGCACTGTTTCCCCAAGGCAATGTGCCGTGCTCTGCAGATCAACCAAGACCAAACTCAGTTATTCTCACGCCACAGTTGGTACCATGCGTGTGAGTATGCCCTTTAAGCTGCACTCGTGGTGCAGGCAGGTCATCCAGGCTCACCAGCCAGTTCCAGGAGGATTCTGCCCAAAAAACAGCTTGAAGAATTAGCTTACTGTACATACATTTTTTTGTCGTCTGCCAGACAAAAGGTGTGGGTTGTAAAAAATGTCTTCTCTATATAACATTTGTTCACTGTATGCATACCATTTTCCTTGTTGTTATGCTGCGTCCTGGTTACTGTATGGTCACTTGCGATCTCTGAAATAAGAGGAAATTATCTGAAAATTATGCTTAGGTGAAGAAGGACTCAGGGAAATAATAGAAAGAAATCTAGTGAATGGCATAATGAAATGTGTCGTATTTTTCTGCTGTAGTTTATATGCTAAATAGCTTGCTTCTGTGAATGCAATTAAAATACAATTTTGCATTTATTTTGTCCTAGGCTGAGTATTTCTACGAGTTCCTATCGTTGCGCTCTTTGGATAAAGGCATAATGGCTGATCCAACTATAAATATCCCTCTGCTTGGAACAGTTCCTCATAAAGCATCAGGTTTGTGCTGTCGATATTATAAATTGTGTTTCTGTAAAAAATATTCCTCAGCCAGTAAAGTCTAAATATTTTATTATGAATTGCAGTTCTGAAGCTTATTGCTAAAGAAATGCTTGCCACAGTGCTTGACGCTGAACAGTTTGAGCGCCTTGCCTGACTCCAGCAGCATATGCCTGAGCCAAGTCACACGAAGCTTTTATGTGCAGATAAATCAGCAGAAACTTGTGCAAAATTGTTGCATAAAATTCATGTGCATGAATATTATTACTTAAAGCGTGCAACTTTTGGAAAACAAAATCTTTGATCACTGTAAGGAATAATTATCAAATTATTCTGTTTCTCAGAGGTTGCAGTTTGTGGATGTTCTACTTACAGTTGGAGTCAGCTGTTGTCATCAGGCATTCAGCTCAAAGACGCAAGTTTTGGTTCAGGATATTATCATTTACCACTTTTCCCTTAGTTGTGCATTCCTAGTCCTTCACTGGGGCTTACAGCTCCGCCGCAGAGGCTGAGCCCAAGCCAATGTGAGTGCTCCAGAAGCACTGCGGTGCACAGTGTGCCGGCGGGAGTAAAAAAGCTTTCCATGAGAGGCTATCGAGTCCACTTTGCTCTGAAGTGGATGAATAACAGCCATCCGGAGCTAATACGTGGTAGTTTCTTGCAGAAAGGCAGAAATTGCACCTGGGTGACAGTAGTGTCTTGGTGATCGTGGTTTCATGATCAGCCTTAGCCAACCTAAGACCACGTGGGATAAAATGGCAAAGAAATGGAACGGGAGGATGGGACCCCAAGGGGAGCACTAATATACAGGTTTACATCTATGACCAGTCTTTCTTTCTCTTCTCTTTTTCAAATTCTGAAAGTTTGTGTTTGATACCCTCCATTTTCGCCTTGTAGTAGAATGGTGTTGAAGTAATGTTGCAGCACAGCTTTTTGCTGTGGCACCTGGAATTTAACATTAGCAATTGGTCTCTCCATTCAGTGTGGATTGAATGAGTGGTATTGAAAATGGATTTGGGTGAAGAGTGCCATAGTTGCTCCAATTTAGTTGGTTGCAAGTCTGATAAATTGGCAAGTAGAGACATTTAAAAGTAACTAAAAAAGTCCCAAAGGCCAAGTTCTTGTGAAGCATTATTTCCATCTCCATATAAAACAGGTGAGACGTGGGGAGCTCTGCACTTAGCATCCTCTAATATAACTAGTTTCTCCTTTAATTTTTAATTATCTAGAAAGGCTAGACCAAAAAGACTCTGTGTCTAGGAAAGCATAATCTACAAGCGCAGGCAGGCTGGAGATGAGATCTCATCGTTCCAGCAGAAGGTCTGTTAACCATCATGATGGGAGGTCTGATTAAAGCCAAAAAGGCCTTACCCTGTTGGCAGCACTGGTGCCTCAATTCCAGGACTAATACGGGCATGTCCATGGTGTTTCCTTACGTGGATCATGTGCAGTGCACCACTGTGCTTAGTATATAAGCTGTATTTGAGTCCTGTTTGGCAATACAGTGAGTCTGGTGTTTAACAGCAATTGATAATGAGTACACATACAGTATTTGAAGCATGTACACTATTTAACAGTGAGCCACTAGTATGATTTTTTTTTTTACACTGCCTGCTAGCTGGCCAAAATTAACTAAGTAGCCTTAAATGCTATAAAAACATGCTATAAAAGTAGTGTATGTTTGCTACTTTGTAGTTATTACTGTAATCTATATGTTCGCAAAACTGTTCTGAGAAATCAAGTCTCGTTTGCCTGGATCTGTTGCATTACCAAATCATTTTTTTTTTACATATAGGCATGTCAGAAGAGATTCAGTCACAAGCTCGTATTTAGTAACACAACAACAGTAGCAAGTTACTTCTTGAAAAAGCATTTTAGCCCAAAAGATTACACTAAAGACAGTTAAAGAGGAATAAAAGAGGAAAGACAGCTGTATTAAACACGAGAGTGGGAAACAAGAATGAGGATTAACAGTTAGATATCTTACTCAAAGGTAGTTTAACCCAGTGGTCTTGTCAAAATCAGTGGGCTTTTAAAACTTCTTTGGGGATATTTGCCCACGACCAATAAAGCATAAGGATGGCGTTAGTGCTTTGGGGCCTGCCTGGACTGTATGTTGTCTTATGGCCAATGGTGGCCATAAGAAGACCTGTGGATGAGCAAAAGGAGGGCAAGCATATGTGATACCTCCATTTACCGCCTCAGCTCTGACTAGCTTCATCTTGGAGGATTTCCTGAGTCTTAGGAGATTTATCTTTTTAATAACCCCACATAGATTACAGATCTCTCTTTCCAGTATTTATCCAGGCTCTCCTTGAGTCCATAATATCTTCTGGTGTCTCCAGTCATTTTGGCAAGGAGTTCACTGCCTCCCATTGCATGAAGATCCCCTCCTGTTGTTTTGAGTCTGACTGCAAGAGCTTCATCTGATGGGTACTAGTCCTTGTACTGGTAGAGACAGCAGTCAGTCCATGCTGTTGGTCCTATCCACGCCAGTCATGATTTTATAGGTGTCTATTATGTCCCTCCTAATTTTTGTCTTTGCCAGGTTGAAAAGTCGCAACCTACTCAATTAGTCCTCATTGGATGTGGCATTGTTGTCAACTTTCTCTAATCCAGTATATCCTTAATGAGATGAGGTATCAAATTCTCCTTGAATTTAAATTAGATTTAAACCACTTAGGTTCATTAGACTCATTTGAAAATCCCATCCCCAAATCCCACGATTGCTACCTGATTCAGTGCTCGCCACACGGGTATTGATACACCTAGACACATGGTAAGATGTTAAGAAGGCTGGAGAAGATGCCTTTCAGTGAGACCTTAAAGAGCTAAGACTACTCAGCTTGTGCAAAAAAAGATGTTTCAGAGGAGTGTGGGTACCTGTCCAATGGGAAGAAGCTGGCTGCTCATTTCACAGGGGAAAGCCTACGGAGGTCTGGTGGTTCAAACTGAGGTCAGCAAGTTCAAAACAAAGTCGGGCGTTGTTGGTATTGGCAGCGATTAACGTCTTGAACACCACATTGAGGAAAGGAAAACCAGCTATTGGTCAGTGCCCAGAAGAAACACAGTGGCCTGTGACTGAGAAGGAGCTGGCCCCATAAGTGACCTGAGCTGTCCCTTCCCGTCCCTGTCTGCACCAGCCAGCGCAGTGCCACGCCGGTGCCACCGGTGCAAGCCGACACAACGCTGCCTCATGTGGGTCATGCAGTCCCCCAGCCCACTGGCCAGGCTCAGGACACCTCCTCTCCCTGCCCACTGCTGGTGTTGACACATCAAAACGTACATGCTGAGCAACCAAAGGTGCTGAAACTCTCTTGAGGCTCAGTGGGAGAAACAGGTGCCTTCTCCGTGGGCAGCAGCATCTGCGCTCGCTCTGCCATGCTGACAGAGAGGGACAGTGTGCTGCAGGGCTGTGTGTGGACTTCCATTCCTCTGCAGACCCTGCATGGCCACATCTACTGGGACTGGTAATTCAGAGATGTTCCTGAAGCAATCCCACCCCTGAGACCATAGGTGGCTTTTGGGGGTGGCTTTTGCAGGTTAGCCAAGTGGGTAAAGCAATAGACTGCAAACTTGAAGACCTGCACAAATGCAGAGGAGCTGCTCTCAACCTGCCTCGACTGGAGACAACTCAGTGAACTTTGTTTTCCTGAACAGAAGGAAAAGGCAGTAATTCTCAGGCCAAAGGGATCAGATCCGCATCCTCCACATCCCAGGAGTGCATTCTAATTGCCAGCTAAAATTAAATTAGATATAAATCACTAGGTTTCCTTAGGTCCCTTTTCAGATTGGTTAAATTTTCCTCGCTCCAGCTGGAGCCCTGTGCTCTGCAGCCCTCGGTGCAAGCACTCCAGAGGATGCAGCAGTATAAATGTGCAAGAGAGGCAATTCCATGGCTGATGAGATGATAGCTAGCAGCGTAAAGCCCTGAGCTGTGGTTCCCTCTCCTTGTTTTTAGCCAACGATGAAAAAACGAAAACTGCATCCTGAATTTGGGAAGCAGGGTCCAGACCTGAGGTTTGTCCTGCCAAAGCCCTGCTCAGCGCTTCTGTGGCCCACAGGAGCTCACAGCCATGGTTCTGGATGCAAAGGACATTTGCTTTGTGCTTTGTTTTGACTGTACTGCTGTCGCTGCGTGCTTAGCGTTATTCAAACAGGCATAAAAAAGCAGGGATTTGGGCAGAGTTTAGGGACTTTATTTCAGCTCTGAACCACCACAGAGCTCAGCCAGGATCTGGGTGCTTATTTCTTGTAGGAGGGTCCTTTACTGTATTTCTGTGTGCCTAGGAGTTCGGACGTGTGGCAAGCTCAAAAATTTGCATGCGTCCAGGGTGGGGACTGCTGGAATAAGGGGCTTCTGACCCGTCCCCTCGGATTTTAGCCCTGAGAGATGCATGCCTGGACTTTGCCTTAGGCATTCATACCCACAGCCAGTTCTCAGGGGAGATGAGGGGTTTGCTACTGATTCAGCGAAGTCTAGATATGACTACAGTGCCGTCATTAAGCGTCTGCCATGTCTTCCTCCCTGTAGCAATTTGCTCAGCAAAGTGACACACATCCGAATACAAGCACTGATTTCCTGCACGTGTGGTCTAAGAAGGTTTAAATTGCGCTTAAACTGTATTTAATCCGCCGTAAGGATTTCCTTCTTACCACGCGGTTACATGCTTTTTGTAACTGTCTTTTAAAGGATTGGTGTAAAAGTGCTTCAACAATGAAATCACTTTATAACGAAAGCTGCAACAGACCTTTCAGTCTGTGGGACTTACAAGAAGCAGAATGTATTTCAGCAATAAATTATTCTGTATTATACCAAGGCAACAAATAACAAAAATGGCCCAATTATGACTTGCATAATATTTCATAACAAGCAATTTAAACCAAACCAAATGTAGGGCTGTTAGCTCAATATTTGGTTCTGAAATCTCAGGCCAGCTTCAGAAGAAATGAATAAACAATTTCTATTAGCTGGATCTAACTTATAAAGCAGCTAGCAAGAACCAATTTTGAAGAAAAGAGATAAAATCATTTAATCTGAAGATTATTTAAAATCACTTGTGACAATCACAGAGAAGCATTCCATAGCTCTGAGGTATCAGGCTTGCTTTTTCATTGAAATACTCCAGATTTGCTGGACTTAATTATTTACTTGAACTCGTTGTAGTTCAAAAGTGTTTGAATACTTTTCCTGGAAAAACAATCTCAAAATATTAAGTTCTGTTGGAGAGATGAGTCTCTCTCTTCTTTTTAAATATTTGCACCCATGATCTTATTTATCAAGTGTACCATCTTGCCAGCACTTTATGGAGTAAGTTTTGATTGAATCATTATCTTATTTAACTATTAATCACAATATCCAAACCAGCCAAACATACCTAAAGTAACTTTTTTTTCCAAAATGTGTAAGATGTTTTTGCAGAAGTCGTATGAGAGCCTGCATAATTTAGGCTCAGAAGTGATCAGCTCAGCTTAGAAAATTAAATGTAGGCTTCCAGCTTGTTTTGGTTTATCCTTAGATACCTCCACATGAGTAATCACCTCATCTACAAGCAAAAGTATGCTTGTGTTAAGATCGCTGTGTGTGCTGCAGTCTGTTGGGGTTATGTCAGTAAATGAGCACAGACTCATCTCCCGTGCTGCTGTACTTCCCCGCCTATGAATAAGGTGATCTGTGTATCTCTGTGTTACAGGTTTTCATCAATGGCATTACTCTAAAGCTTAGATATAAATATTATCTATATTTTTTTTTAGTATTTCAATGTATGCTTTTATATGTATGTAGATATATATGCATGTAAATATCAACATTATTGTTATTATTCTCCTTTAAGTTGTTCAGGTTGGATTTCCTTGCCTTGGGAAACAAGATGGGGTGGCTGCATTTGAGGTGAATGTGATCATAATGAATTCAGAAGGCAATATTATACTCCAGACCCCTCAGAACGCCATCTTCTTTAAAACCTGTCAGCAAGGTAATGCTAAAGAGAGGACATGCTGAAATACCTGGTCACTTAACTTTCTGATGTTTCATTCAGGGTAGTGACTAAAGAAGATGGAAATGTGTGGCAATGATGGTGAATGCCAGGCTGTTATGGCTCTGTCTGTGGATTTGCTGTATATTTATCAGATGTTTACTAACCTTATACTTACTGTCAGCTACGTCTCACTTAGCAGACTGTGAGGAGACATTTCTCCTCCTGTTCATAGCTCATCACGTCAAGGACACTAATAGAAATGTATTGTGTGAGAAGCACCTGTTAGCAAATGATTTGAGGTGCTTGGAGGAGAGCTAGTCCTGGGAAAACAAGTTGGGGCTAACATTTCCAGAAGTGGCACATAATTTGGAGAACTGAACCTCAAGGGAGACCCTGGCTTCAGTTAATACTGTTTGGTGCCTTAGTTCAACAGTTCCTTAAATCTCAACTTGCACATGCAAACCAAATGCAAAAATCCTAAATCAGAACATTTTTTTTTTCATAAAATTTTACCTTCTCTGGATCTCAGATGGCAACCTCTTGGTTTTGGATACAGGTAAGGGTGTGGAAGCTGGTCCTCAATGCTTGCAGTCATCAAGCAGTAAAAACACACAGGATGTGCTGGTAAAAGAAGGGCAGCATGAAGTTATTGCAAAGTTTACTTGGAAAGAAGGGAACCTGTTTAATCAACCAATCTATGAACCATAAACACTATGTAATAAGACTTTCTGGATTGATTTGATACACTACAAACAACTACAATTATCATTTTGAACCGAGGGTGTGGAAATTGAAAAATCAGTATCTCAGATAAGGCAGTTATCCCATGTCGTGTGCAATTGTATCAATTAACCCATGACAGGGCTGGGTTACAAAGAGTAAGATTTTTATTCTTCTCCTATTAAATTTCCATTCCCAGCCCCGCACTTTCTTCTCTGGGCTCTTTTCTCTGAGCTAATGGGTGGCAGCGTGGCTTCAAAGAGCAAGCAGCAGGAGCAGGAGCTGTTTATTCTTTGAAACCTCACTACACCGAAATAGCAAAGCTGCTTGTCTCCTTTGAAGCCTTGCTGCTGCCAATTAACCTAGATAAAGTGGAGGAGGGGGAGAAGTGGGGAGAGAAACAGGAAGGAGCATGGGGGCTTAATGGAAGTAAAATCAATCAGATCTCACATACAAAGTTGGGTGTCTGATGTAAATACAACACAAAACATTTGCTATCCTTGTATTTTCAGTTCAGTTGAAAGATACTGAACTTAATGAACTTTGAAAATAGTGTTGGGGTAATCTAATAGGGAAAGCAGAGTTACAGGTCTGTATTGTGGAAAAACGTGGCTTAAACTGAGAGAACTCCAAACTGAATTTAGTAGTAGCACTCATCCAAGTTGTCGTTTCTCTACTCTTAGTTGTTGTTGTTGTTACTATTTTGATGTGAAATATAATATTTAACAATTTAGCAGTATCGCATCATATGGCCTCTCAGGAAAGCTGGGGGTGATTATTGTCCCAGTCCTTTGCTCCTGGTGCCAGCTGAGAGAGGCAAGGACAATTTCCTAAACTCTAGAGGTGGGCAGAGGAGCAGTTTTCTCACCTCGTCTCTTCCAGCATGTACTGGGGTAACTCCCACTCCTGCCCTCTACCCAGTGAGGTGGACACCTCAGTGTTTTAGGACAGATGCTGAAAAGGATGAGAATGTCCTTACCAGCTGGTGTTAGCATAAGGATGAGTTTCCTTCCTCTGAAAGACATAATTCGTGACGAGGAGCTCTGATTCCTCCTGCGGGGGCCCTGGTCACTGTTTCCAGTCATTCTTGGCCATCCAGAAAGGCCCCCACCAGAGGAAGCGAAGGGAGAGAGGGAGCAATTTTGTGGAAGAGGAGAGGTTTTCTTGTGGCTAAGAGGTGGCCACGCAAACAATTATGTTTTCCTATTTTTCTGTTTGAAATGGTATGTATTTAAGCATGCATTTTCTGTGATGAATAGCAGCTCTGCATTTGTGTACAAAGAAAGAAACATTTCCAGAAAGTGTCCTTGAGTACAGTGTTGGAACACAGTAACACCAAAAAGCCTGGACTGCTATTACTACTGCTGCAAACAGCTTTACTTTCAAAGCAACGCTTTTTGCTTCATGTATCTATGGCCTTGGATAGAAGAGCATTTTAAAATGAGATCTTTCTTCCTCTCTCTTTCCTGTTTTTTTGGCAGTTGTACAGAATATCCAGCTACCTGACCAAGTACATCAAATTTTCTTTCCTTTTGTTTTGTCTCGGAGTTACTCTTCATGTCCCACTGAATAGAAAGCTATTACATGAGTGCAGCAGAATACTGCTCATATTTATAGCAGCAATGATTTCCTGTGGCTCTAATCAGCTATTAGATAAATTTTCAAAACCAAGAAGTTTATTTGTGTATGAGTCTAACTAACAGATATGTCACTTGACTCAAATATTAGAAGAAGAGAGAATCATTTGATTTTTAAAAGTCCAGGATTATGTTTTCCTCTGTATTAATAGGACTTACAGTTTAAAGAATCTCTGTGGATAGCAAAAATGTCTCGGGCAACCTGACCCTCTTGATTTTATAGACATCCTGCTACTCCTCGCCACTTTAAACGAGTGCATCTTAAAGGCTATAGCTGCTTCAGTTTGAACTCAGGTATTATTCAGTTGGGAACCAGTGTGAATCCATGGTACATCTTTACAGCCTAGGGACGGTAGGTGCCAGGACTTCCCTATGGGGCAATGGAAAAGAGGTAAGGATGCTGTTGGCAGGTGTTGTCAGTCACGTATGTTTGCAGCACTGTAACACTAAAGGAAAAAAAAATAAAGACATGAGGCCAACATTGCAGCCAATTGCTGTCTAATAGATGGCCTATGAGTTTGGGTTGGGACATATCGATCTACCTCAGGTCTTGAACCTTGTCACTTGGAGTGTCATCCAGCATAGCATCAAGATGGGAAGGTCATGTCTACTCTGCTAAAGTTGCCCTGTGGCCCTGGTACCGCTGATCACAAGTGATGTTCACTTTTTCTCATGGGAGTAGGCAGCCTCTCCTGCCTGCTGCCTTCTCTGTGAGGGATCTAGGAAGGTATTTTTGAGCCATTGTTTTTCTACCCAGCAGTCATGTTTTCACGGGGTTCCATAGGATTCAATTTGTTTTGCCTCTTGTTTGATGGACGCTGGTGTTTTGAGGACGGCGATGGTGCCCAGAGGTACCATCCTTGCATAGCGCAGCCAGTGTTGCCAAATGCTTTAACCGGTGTTTGATCAATAGTTGAGATGTGAATGAGTTGGATGATGATATAGGACCACTGTGCAGGAGTGCTTTCATCTTCCTTTCTCACATTCTTTCATCTAGCCTTGAAGCTGACTCTGTCATTTGAATACAGATTTCGTCACTTTGTCACCTCAGAAGTAACAGCTGTAGTAATTAATTCAATGCAAGTTGTAGTGCAGTCTAATTGTGGCTGCAGAAATTGAAACTGGTCCTGCGTTCTAAGGGCAGGTCTAACCAGCGATGCAAGTCTGGCATCGGGTGCCTGCTCGTTTCTGCACAGAGGAGAAAGTGTTGGATTGTGCAGAGCATCCACACTGCTCATGCACTTACAGAACAGCAGAGCAATGGAAATGAACAGTCAGTCAACAAGTACATCGTGCATTTGTCTGAATGTGTGATGAAACCTCTACTTGTAGACTAACAAAAAAGTAACTAATTTCTCTTGAGGAGGTCTTAGCTGAACTTCCATTTCTGTCAGCATTTGCCTGTCTGTCAGCAAATATTTTTACTGTTGTGTCAAAGAAATATATCGATCCTACCAAAAGTTGGCTGACAGCTGAGGTATGTAATATCCAATTAAGATTGTCGTTATATTTTATGAAGCGGAGTGTCCAGGAGGATGCAGAAACGGAGGATTTTGCAACGAAAGACATGTCTGTGAATGTCCAGATGGATTTTATGGGCCTCACTGTGAGAAAGGTAATTTTTAAATTTTTTTTCAACTGTTGTCTTTACCATAATTTCAACAAAACTGTGGCTACTGCACTGTAGCCTCTCCTAAAAGAATGACCTATTCTGAAGATTTCCTATAGTTCGAGTCCACACATGTAAGAGAATTAGTATCATCATCCATGGTCTAATGGAAACATTAATTGCTTACAAGAAAGAAGTTTTCTCTCTAAGAGATTGCTTTTAGCAAAAACGGTCAAAATAGTTGTGATCCTTAATGACAGGGAATCCATCTGGCAAAAAGATTACATAAAATTCTTCTGCTAATGAGGATTACCTGGGAAACAAAGCACAGGACGTTTGTTGTTCAGCATTTTTTTATTTGGAGATAATATCTAATTCGGAGATAAGATCTAATTTGAAGGCAGGCTGACAATGAAGATAGGAAGATGAAGGAAAGAGCGTCCTTTTCCTTTCCATTAGTGATTAATAGCCCCAAATGACATTTCCAGGAGTCAGAGACCAAGAAATTGAGTGACTTGGCAAGGGAACAAGCTCTTCTTCCTGTCTCTTCCTTCACGTCCCCCAGTGACAGAGCCTCTCTGGGGTGACTTGAGATGGAGCAAACCATCTCCATGGGCATCCTATTCCAATGACATCCTTCACTGAGCTCCCAGGCCCTCTGGCTACCTCCAAAATATTAAGTACAAAGGATGAGTTCTCTGGCCTGCTGGCCAACTAGGATGGTGCAGTTTGCATGCATACATTTAATAAACTCTCTTACCCTCCAAAAAAAAACACCCTCCAAACTCTCTACTCGGAGGAGCCCATGGCCACTGGTCACCCCGGGGCCATGCCCGCGAGAGTTTGCTAGTTGTCGAGGGACAAAGCTATGCCAGGAATGGCACCAACTATTTCACAAGATGGATGATCCTGTGCCCCTACTTGACCCCATGGCTGGATGCTGTTTAATTCAGCAGAAAGGACCCAGCCTTGTTCCAATGTACCAATTGTGGGCAATCATGAAATGAAGCACTGTCACCTAATGTGCCTCCCTGGAAAAGCCTTGTGAGGTGGCCACAACTGCAGAGAAGCTGTGGGAGAGCACAGGGCCTCTGGAGAATGTTGATGGGCAGCATGCAGGACAGTTTGGCCACCAAACCAGGCCACGCGACAGGCTCCCCTAGCCTAAATTAGGTATCCGTGATTACACTCAGGTATGCAGAGGGAGAAGGGGCCGTTCAATGTAAAGCCTGCCTGGGAACGCCGCTGAAATGCTGACACCTCTGAGCGCAGCCCCTAAAGAGACAGTGCGGTCTGCACAGCTGAGGCACCAGCTGCAGCACCAGAGTCCAGTTATAGAGGGGGGGGGGACACATCAAATATCCAGAGGGTGTACGTGGGCACTTTGCTCTCCCCAGTTTGGAATTAAACTGTACAAGAGGCAATCTCTGCATACATACAGAACCAGATTTGAACATAATTTAATCTTCACCTTTTTAGCAACGCTGTATGCAAATTGCCAGATAACAAAAAAAGAGATGTAATTGATTTAACCCACTTACAAAGATGCTTTACAAAGGTGACTTGTTACATTCAGCAGAAGGAAAAGTAGCTTAGGGAGACAATGTGCAGTGTATTCAAATAGACAGTTGTTACCACACCAGCGATGCTTTTTCTGTTCTCCCTGCTCCTCAGCGCTGTGTGCTCCTCGCTGCATGAACGGTGGGCTCTGCATTACACCCGGCCTCTGCATCTGCCCCCCGGGGTTCTACGGCATCAACTGTGACAAAGGTAACTGCCATCTAACCCCCCCCCTGCTCCCGGGCTCCAAATCCATCAACATCTCTTTATTCCCCTGTGTTAGTTTCCCTCTAGGAGTGGATTTTGGAAAGGCAGGCAAGTGATGAATTACTTAAGTTTTAAAAGATGTTGTTTTGTGATTCTTCACATAGATGCTTTAGCATAACCTGGGAGCTGCTGGAAGTGCTTTCACAGCTGGATGTGCCAGCATCCATATCCACTAGCTCAGTGAAGGGTAATTTAGATAATCTTTTTAGTTGATCCATTGAAAGCTGTGGGACCTTCCACAAAATTCTCTTATATTTCTGACCTAGGAAAAAAAATGATCGCTATTTGAACTCTAGTTTCCTGCAGTAAAATTAGTTTTACTAATTAGCTAGTCCATTAATTTGCTGCATCTGGACACATGAAGAAATAAGCAGTCTATTCATTTTTGTTGGTGCATTATGGCTCAGGAAGAGTAAAAAGGAACAATCAGTTGTTTAGAACAGTAATTTGGAACAGTTCAAGCCACCACATATTAAAAAACAACTTTCCTGCAGAAATATCACTGATCTGCTCATGGCAGAGAAGATTACAGGACATCACATTGTATTTATTGTTACAGAACTGTGTGAAGTAATGACTAAATGCAAAAGGTCCTTGTGGACTTCCCAGCAAAATAATGGGAACCTTCCTAGGCCTGTAGGGATGCTTGCACGGACTGTTGTAGTCGAGGTCCTTCTGATTTGTATCTAGTCGTTGATGAGACCTTTACTGTATTTAAAAAATGTTTCCAAAGTGCACTGTCATGAAATGCTCCATGTCTTGAAGGATATTGAACTGTAAGATTAATGTGAATCTCAGCTGTTTGGTGAAAAGTCACCTCTAATACAATCTAAGTAATTTGGCAGGTGAGAGACACGGCATTTGCATCTATGTCACCACACAGCAAAAATTTATAAAGGTTTCTTTCTAGTTAAACCCCAAATCTCCCAAGGCATTAATTAAGAACTGTAGTGAAGTATCCTCTTGTAGAAGTAACTCCCAGTCCTAGATTGTGCACCTTTTACCAGACACCAGCAGTTTCAACAGCAATAGTGACTTGATCCTTCAACGAGCTTTACATGTGAGGATTGATAAAAATGTAACACAATCTGTCCTTGGGGATCTCATTGCTGTATTGTTCACTTGTCTCTTTTTATATTGACTTGTGTGTGCGCCCGTGCAAAGTATTCTGTTGGAAAAAAAACCCATGTTTCAGTCTTCCTTTGTTAACCAGATGAAAAGATGTTAATGCAACTTTTTTAAACCTACTCAATGTTTATGTGTGATGAGCAGCAGAAAATATTAAGGACAAGTCAGACTGAGTTTATATTAGTGGCTTTGTTCATTCCTGGTTTATTTGTTTCAGCAAACTGTACAACAACCTGTTTCAATGGAGGAACATGTTTCTATCTGGGAAAATGCATTTGTCCTTCGGGCTATGAAGGAGACCAGTGTGAAATTAGTGAGTAGCATCTCTGTGTGCTTGCTTTGACTTACATCAACTTGTTCTAGTGTCGATGTCTGAATGATGAAGTGCTACCTGCCTCTGCTGGGCTGACAGCAAGGGTCTCACATGGCAGGCTGGGGCCCTCAGCATTAGATGCCTCCTTGACTCCAAATACATTTCTTACTGAGAAGTTTGACGCAATCCTAGACCATCTTGTCTCCTACCTAGTTTTGTTTTTTCTGGTAACTGGGCTTAGTGCAACCCTCAAGCCATAAGTACGCAAGCAGTACTTTGTGGCAGATAGATGTGCTGCTGTACCAAGCCCATGTGGAGCAGCTATTTTCAAACGTTACGGCAATTTGCACTTGGGCGCAGCAGATTAGGTTTGAGCCCGCATCTTTGAAAGGGCTACTATAAGCTGGGAACGGAAGGGTTTGGGGCAAAGGGAGGATTGAGCCGTAAGAGCTGAGAACTTTCCCTTCATGTATTAAGTTGCGTTCACATGGTAACTTGAAAATCCATGTCGCAAACATCAAAAGACTTGCCATTTTCAGAAGTTTAGCATCAAAGCAATTGAAAATATTTTAGCTCATGGTTGATCTAAGTGTGCTGTGTAAAGCTGGGGGTGGAGATATGGCCAGGCTGGAACAGACCTGGGAGGTCAGCTGTCAAGCATTTGATCTCACTAAAAGAAGAGTTTTCTCACAGCTGTGTTAAATTGGATTAATTCTATAGTTCCCCACACTTGAACAGAGTATGAGCATTTCAGTTTTGAGAATGTACACCCAGGTCGTTCTTTCTGGACTTAAAGCTTCTAACAGGGTGCTGTGCGAGGAGCTTCCCCTGCTGTAAATAATCTCACTGACATTCCCCAGTGCCTTCACAGGAGCGTGGAGAGCACAATTTGGTCTGGAATACATAAGAGCTGATTTCTTAATATGCATCAGTAGAGACAGGCTCTTCTCATAGTTGTGATATTTGTATTATCAAATATTTTGGAAACACAGGGAAATAAACTCCAACATGGTGTCAGCCAGTATAGAATAATAAATGAATTACTGTGCCAAGGAAGAACATAGATACTGTAAGACCTGGGTTTTGCTCAGTATTTATGTGCAGATAAACAGTAGATGTATGTAAATGTTTCACCATATCTATACACATTACAAGGCATTTTGCAACTCCTTTTTACCTAATCAAAACTGGAGCCAAACAGAAGCAGTAAAGATTTATTGTTATTAAATTAATAAATATTGGCCTTTGATATAAAGTCACATCAGGTCCTTTGATATAAATTCACATCAGATGTCAGCGAGAGCAGTGTGGGTTTCCACTGAATTTACCTTTGCTTACATCAAGTTCAGATTTGACACTCTGCCAGAATCTCATTTCTTTCTTCAGTCCCCAAGAAGTCAACTGCTGACACTTCTCCAATGAGGCACTTTGGTTCAAAGTTTGAGAAACATTTATTCTATGTCAGTGGTGGTTTTCTGAGGAAAATTCTTAGAACTGGTATTACAGCACGTATAATTAAGGGTGCTGCACTTAAGGGTGCTGCACAGGGGCTTTTAAGCTCATTGTTGTCCACTGCTACTTGGGATGGGTACAAATGACTTTGGCTTCTTGCAAAGGCTTACCTGTGCAACTCAAATTAAATAAATTAAAATACAGGCAGTAAACTAGTTTCTGTACAAAAGAAAGAAAAAAGTGAGGATCAGAGTAGACTAAGAGCTAAACTGGGAATACGTTGATGAGAGCGAGGAAAGCTATGCACTTGCCTTGGCTTTTGTAAAGCTGGCACAGCAATTGTTAGACCGTGATTGATGACTGCTGCCACCTCTGGGCAGTGCACCAGTACCAGCACAACAGTGGAAGACTGCAAGAAATGCTAGATGAGGCTTAGAAACGCCAGAGGAGAAACACAACTCAGTCTCTTTTCTTAGATCCAGGGCTAGCTACGTTCAGTCATGGGGGTCTTGAAATAACAAGGGGAGAAAACCTTTCAACGGGCAGAAAGCCATCTTCTGAAAGCTGCAAAGTTCTTATTTTGGTTTGGTTTGTTGTTTTTTTTAATATTGCTTAAACACTTTGAGTGCTTGTCTAATAGTTGCATCACTCTCTAAGACTCCTGGGAAATGTACTGGACCCAGTCTACTATACTAACAAGTATTCACAATCTTCCAGATTTTTTCTAGCTATAGTTATGCATTGTCTCTAATTAGTGTTTCAGTTTGAGTCCAGAGAGTTTTATTTTGTTTTGGATTCCTCCCCCATTTTTCACCAATTGTTTTGTTGCTTTTTCCGTTTCTTAGTCAATCCCAGAGAGAGTTATTACTCTTTCCTTCATTCTGTGAAAATATCTTAGTCCAAAGTTAATTGAGCTGTGCTGAGCCAAATGCTCGCCTAATGCAACTCGGTGGAAGTTGCTATCACACCCTTTGACCCATATTCTCCAAATTTACTTCAAGAACTAAGAAAATTCCTGGTTTTCCTGATCATTGCTCCTTTGGGTCATTAATTATTTGGGATCCGAATGCTTGCAAATTAGCATACCTAAATGTTCCCTCTCCAGAGGCTCCTGTGGGGAAATTGTGCTTTTGCGGAAACTCTCCTTAGCATATTTGTTGCATCAGCTGGTTGTGAAGCTTGTTTCAGGGCTATTAAAATAATTAAGTGCATTAGGAACAAATGTTTCTTTTATATCGACAATACACACATGCATCGCAGAAGTCTGCCGGGAGCGAGAGCTGAGCAAGTGCTACCTGGGGTGTTGAGCTCCCGAGGGGGCAGGCTGCGATCATGAGATGAGTGCAATTGCTGAGGTTTTCAGCGCAGCAAGCCAGTGTTGATGTTTAAAATATCATGTGCAGGCCTCAGTTGACATTGTTGGGTTTTTTTTTAAAAAAAAAGGAAAGGAAAGGAAGCAGTTTGCTGCCCTAGGGTCTAGTTTTTGTTTGCTCAAAGATTCAAGTGAATATTAGTCATAAATCTAGGAAGGTCTTGGTTTTCTCTGTGTTGAAGAATCCAGAAAGTGTTGTGGGATTAGAAAAGATGAAAAAAGGTTTTGGATGGCAGTGAGAAAAGATGCATTGGTACATATGGCCACTGAGGAGGCTGAGTGTGTAGTTCCTGATGGCCCCAGAGTGCCCAGGGATGTGGCAGTGAGCGTCCCTTGGCTTGGGGGTGACCCAGCTTGTGGGTGCTGTGCTCACACTTCTTAGAGACAAGTGAAGATTTAATTAGTTCAATAATGCAGACATTCTAAGAAGGGATTGACAATCTGGTGGTGGGAGACTTGACGTTAAGTTTGAGGAAGTCCCTTGGTGTGAGTCAGGTCCCGCAGAAACTTGAGTGTGGGATGTCCTCCACCAACGTGGATCTCCTCCCTCCCAGGCGAGCCAGAGCCAAACAGCACTGTCAGACCCAGCCTCTTCCTTTGGTGAAGCGTGAACGTCAAGGAAAGTAATTTCCAGACCAAAAGCCTTGAAAAATGTGTGCCAGTTCTAATTACTGTTACCAAAGATGCTCGCTTCTTCGCAAACAGGGAAGAAGGGCATGCTTTTTTAATGTGCCTTTAGTTTCTGAGCTGTGGTGTGGAACAGCCCTCATTGCACCACCCTCAACATTGTGGTGCTCCACAGGCACAAGCTGACAGGTCCAGCCAATCTCGTTATTCTCTGCAAGTAGCCACTGTACCTGCCAGTTCCTGAGCATCCTATTGCTTAAAATGTCTCTCAGATGCCACCAGGTTTTCTTCTGCTTATGCCCGCTGGGTATGGATGCCACTCTTTGCAAACACAAAGTCTGGACACTGTTGCCTCCCCCATGAAGGGTGAGGAGAGCAGGAGGCAATACTGACCGGTGGCATAGGGGACTCTGCGGAGCCCGAGTGGCACAACTCTAGGCAAGAGCTGTATGGACACATGGGCTTCAGCCAGGTGAAATTATTGTCATATTTTCAAAGCAGAAGAACGCATATAAACTGGAAGCACAGTCTTGCAGCAGAATCTTCTTGATGGATCCATAGTGCACACTCTTACACCAGCATCCAATGAGGTTTTTGGGCACAAGGCAGGCTTCTCAGATGCTTGTCTCCAGTAGGTGCAGGGGACTGAGACCATTGTTTCCGTGTTTTCGATTTCTAGGTAAATGCCATCAGCCCTGTCGAAATGGAGGCAAATGTACTGGTAAGAATAAATGCAAGTGCTCCAAAGGATACCAGGGAGACCTGTGTTCCAAGCGTAAGTACCAAAGCCCATCAGTCCTTGTTGAAGAAGCATCAAGCTGGCTGTACAGTATCTTTTCACACAATGTCAGCACTAATTGTTTGTTGTCAAAGTATTTCAGGTTAATTTACTTTCTCAACATACATCATGTGCCAGACTTAAGGGAATTATGAAACCAGAAATGTTTTTTCACAAAAGTCTCCCCACAGCCTCTTCTGTTCTCTGAATTTCTATGAAACAGCAATGTGTCGGCTGAGTAATACCACTTTAGTAATAGAGAAATGCTTAATGAAACGTCAATACACTGAAACATTAAAATCCAACGGGACCACTTTGTGAGAGGGATGCTGGGGGCATCCCTCCTTCTCCTGCCGGTTCTGGTGTAGGCTCAGCTCTGCTGTTCCATCTGCTTCTCTCTGCCAGAGACTGAGCCAGAGCTGGCTGGGGAATTGGGGGGTGAAATGTTTCGGGGCTTTGCACACATTCAGTGCAAAGTCACAGATTTACTGTGAGAGCCACAGCCCATGCCAGGACCACGCCATCTCGAGAAAAAAATAGGGAAAGCAAATATGCAGCTCTGACTCTGGATGAAATGTCAAGAGGTCAGGCACATGTGCTCGCTTTCTTACAGCTGTCTGCGAACCCGGCTGTGGCCCGTACGGCATCTGTGCTGAGCCCAACAAGTGCCAGTGCAAAGAAGGCTGGCACGGGAGACACTGCAATAAAAGTAAGTGAGAAACAAGCCCTGAGAGACTGTATCGGGGGTCTTACGTGTCCTATGCCATGCAGAAATGACTGCTTCAAGAGCCTTTCCAGCATCATTAATGATACCACAATCCATTTTTTCTAATCTTTAATACAAAAAATAAAGTGGAAATTTTCAATAATCCATAATTTTAACTACTTTAAAAAAACTCAGAATCATTTAAAAGTGTTTTACCAAGATCACCCTTGTATTAAAAATTCAAGAATCTGATATCAACCAGATTTCTAGATGACCTCATGTGTCTTCCACCCATGGTATGGGAGGGATCTAAAATCCTTCAGTACTCCTCAGTAGTGTCAGCTGGCTTTAAATTGTTGGGTAGGCATTTTTAGAAATAAAATTTGGTCAGATTTTAAAGCTGATTAAAACTTAGAAAAAAATGAAATGTCCTTTAGAAACTTTGGGGAAAACTTGAAGAATTATGCAAGATCTATGCTTACCTACTTCAAAGTTTCCCTTCCCCACCCATCCACCACACACCACGAAAGATATCATTCCAAAGCAAAGTTCAAGTCCTTAAAATGAATTTCTGTTTTGCTTATTGACCCATTTGACACCCAGTGAGGCAACTGTTCATTTCACTGGATTTAAATTAGTGCTGTAAAATTATTTGAAAGGCAATTGGCTACATCCAGTAAGAATTTCAGATTTAATTTTATATTTCATGTGCAATACTGCTGTAACAGCAGATCTTCAAGAGATATTCTGTCCATTCTCCTATGAAGTATTAATGTTTATCTTAAACACTGTTAGCTAATGATTTCCATTTAATGTTTTAAGTGTCAATAATAAAAAAAGGTTAAAAATATTTGCAGCTATAAAACCCACAAATTAGCCATAAGAAATGTAAATCTTACATTGCAGCATCAACTGAATAATCATTTTTATTAAATGTTGTTGATGCCTGTCATTTGTATCCCATTAACATGTATTAGAATAAATACAGTTGTTTCATTAAAAGATTAGTGTTGTTTGACTAAAATGGATTACGCTGTGAAAAATAGGTTTGGGGAGTCCACCTTTCTGCTGTTGGCTAGTGGACTTGTATTTAAGTATTCAGTATCTGTGTCATTCCCTGATGGATAAATACCATTAATATAAGTTATGGATAGAAAAAAATGGATCTTCTTGTAATACTCCTCGTATAAAGACCTGAGATAGCAAGTGAAAACAATATGTACTATGGATGAACATACCCAAAGAAGTAACTACCTGTACAACAAAACCAAATTTCATAACTGACAGATTATGAGGAGTCAATAGCCACACTTAATGTCAGTTCCAAGGTTTGCCATCCTTAATTACTTGACATTTGGGTACAGTCCTGCTGTGTTTAACACTGCAAAAGTCTTTTTGTATTCAGCAAAGAAACTGAGAATCGGCCATTTGGATAAAATTCACCCCCATTTTAAGTACTCATATAGGGCTTAAGTTGCACATACAAGTCTGCAGGCACTGCGATTCACTCTTTTCAACTAAAATCAAACATCTCCTGATCTTGAGAGGAGATTTATAGTTAATTTGAGAGACTCACTCCATATTCCATCAAATGAATCGCTCCTTGGTAAAGCCGTTTTCTTAAAAAGAAGTGGTTAAAACAATTGAACATGGGACCCAGGTTTTCAAAGTCATTTCCATGAGCTTTAAGTAATGAGATGGGTAAATGAAACTATAAATAATTACAACATAATACTTTGAATTCCGTTTTTATTGTTCATTTTCATTTTCCAGAGCAGAGCAGCTCTGCTAAGCCTGTTTCAGACTGCTCACCCCCCGCCCCACAGGTGTTTATTGTCCTTTCTCCTTGCATTCAGCCATAAACCAAAGCCAAGCTCAGGTAGCTGGCGCAGATTCTCCCCAGGGTGATGCTTACATCCCTCTTTAGAGCCCGTCAACCGGCGTGACCCTCACCCACCGGTGTGGGCTGTGCACGTGCAAACCCGTGGCTGAGTGACAACCTGGGCGCGCTGATGGTCCCCGGGGCTCCCTGGCAAGGCAAGAGCATCTTTCCATCTGGCAGCACCTGGTCCATCCCAAGGGGGCACAGAGAGGGATGAGCAGTTGCGTAAGGCATAGCAAAATCCTTTGTTCAAACTGCGGGGGGAGGGGGGGAGCCTGTTTCCACTTGAAATATTAGCAGTGGATCTCAAGCCCACTTCTGTGGTTTCTTTTCTCTTGAACTGGATAATTTTCCAGGGTACGGAGCCAGCGGTCTGAGCGCCCTGAGGCCAGCAGGCAGCAAGCACAGGCAGCACACGCCTTCGCCAAAAAAGGCTGAGGAGAGGCATGTTCCACCCGAATCCAATTATATCTGGTGAACTCCAACATCTGAAACGGTTCATGTTACACAAAGTTCATAGCCTTCATTAACCTCTCATGGATTGAATGTTAAAACGCTGTTCATTACAGTTAAGATTACTGGCTGGAATTTTATTAGCTTCATTATAAACCACTGAGCTGATATTTACTATTCCTTTTAAGTTTTATAAATACTTCTATAGCATGATTATATAGGCTTCTTCTTTCAGTGCTTTGGATGGTGTTTTGTACTATACTTCAGTTATGTTTAAACTTCCTTTTTTGATTATGTAGCTGCAAATATTTTCCAAAAATTAAGTAACAATATTCAAGCAGAAAACCTCATAGATACTAACCTGAATCATTTCAGTGACTACAGATTTAATTTGCCTAAGACAAAAGAAAGGTGCCTTTTACATTTTTGCTGTTGTGCATTTAGACTTTTCCCTAAGAAAAATAAATAAAATAAATAAGTTACCTAATTTAAAAACCGAATAGCTCAAGACAATGTTGGTTTTGGCCTTACATTTTTGCAAAGTACTGTGTATTAAAAATACACAGCGGTGGTGCCATTTAAGCAACATAAGATATTGTAAACAAAGTAGAACTGTAATGTATGAACTTTCTGCATCGGCTTGAAGCAATATAATATATTGTAAACAAAACAGCTCTTATGTAATAAACTTTTTATACTGACAGTTATGTACAAAATAAAGAAGCTGCTTTAGTTTTTCGAGTACTGCTCTGTGTGGCCTGCTCCGGACTTATCAGCGCTGGGTCGGGATGATGGCTTCTCTAGAGCACCCTCATAAAACAGTAGCGGACATGTATGGAACCGTCTAGGTTGGAAGTGACCTTTAAGATCATCCATTAGCCTAACACTGTCAAAACCACCACTAAACCATGTCCCTAAGCACCATGTCTACAAGTCTTTTAAATACTTCCAGGGATGAGGAAGCCACCACTTCCCTGGGCAGCCTGTTCCAATGTTTGATAACCCTTTCAGGGAACAAATATTTCCGAATAACCAATCTAAACCTCCCTTGGTACAACTTGAGGCCATTTCCTCTTGTCCTATCACTTGTTACTTGGGAGAAAAGACCAACTCCCACCTCGCTACGGCCTCCTGTCAGGTAGTTGTAGAAAGCATTAAGGTCTCCCCTCAGCCTCCTTTTCTCCAGCTAAACAACCCCAGATCCCTCAGCTGCTCCTCATACGCCTTGTGCTCTAGACCCCCCACCAGCTTTGTTGCCCTCCTTTGGACACGCTCCAGCACCTCAGTGTCTTTCTTGTAGTGAGGGTTCCTTTCTTCTTTCTTGTAGTATTGGTTTCTTTGTCTCTGCTTTTAGTCCCACAGCTCTTAAAAATATTTCAGAAGAGCAACTTCTTCTTGTGCTTTTGCAAAGGAGAGAATAGCACTAGAGGGCAGGTGTTTCTCTCCCTATATTTGCCCTCCACCATGTCCTCCACCCCTTCCTCCACTGCCAGCCAGCAGTGCCAAGCTGGTCTGTCCTGTTTGTGGTACCTCCAGTACCCAGGATCTTCTCCTCAGAGCCTCTGTTCAAGCATGTGATAGTCCAGCCCTGGTGATGTTTCCTGTTGAAGGGTGATGCTCCCATGTCACATTGGGTTCAGACTGTATAAGGTTTGGGTGCTGCCTCTTGCGACAGTCAAGGGCCACACAGTTTGTAATGTGTTGTGGCTAGGAAGCAATGAAAATGGTTTCTGCCTACGCTGAAGAACAATATCCACTTCACCCAACGATTACCGACCCTTGCTATATTGCAGTTCTGGGAACCTCATTATCTGGGTGATAAATAAAAAGACACATAAATAACACATAATTTGGGGCATAAAATTAATCATAATGAGTGAGAGGTTTTGAGTTACAAAGAAATAGTTTAGTTTATTAACCTGACCTTGCTGGTCTTATTTAGTCAATGGACCCACAGGCCAAGTAAAAAGACTTGCTTCGGCCAGAGAGAGGCAGGACAGCTCTCCAAGGATCCTTTTTTATGCTTTATGCTTATGACAGCCTCTGCCCTGTCACTTCATGCAGTGGGACTGTAGATGCTGCCCAGCAAGCCTGATCCGACAGCAGAGCAACCCCCATCGCCACGCATGGCTGCAGCCCTCCACAAGTGGCACAGGGAGAAACCAGGCTGGGGAAGGAGGAGCAGGGCCAGGCCGGCCCCTCATTACACCCCAGGCCATAACTAGAAACAGCCCAGACAAGGTGGTTTGGCCGCTTGCCTGATATCCTTCCCTGGGATGGAAGTAAAACAGCTCTGGTTTGCTGAAGAAGGAGCTTTCTAAGCGTGGATGTGTGTAATGGCTATGGCTGGTGGCCACCAAAGTGGTGGTCCCGCAGCCTTCAGGCTCACACCTCCTGTGGGACTCCCAGCATCTCCCCAGCCTCTTAGGGGACTGGGAGGAGCCTGGGGCATGGGGCCCTCGGGTGGCAATGCAGGGCAGGACCTGACCTGCAGGTGCCTCTGTGTATGCTGCATCACTGTGCTATGGGGGATTTTGGAGCAAACCTCAGTCCCCATGGCAGCCCATACTCTTACCTATGTCCTGGCAGCCTGTGGATCTCTCCCCCACACCAAAGCTGCTGTTGATTGTGGTGAAATCAGTTTTCCTTTAAAAAGGATAACCTGCTGTATCTGCGGGCAAGAAGGTAAAATGCCAGCTGCTGGTGTGAGCTGGGCTTTTCCCTCCATCAGGGCCAGCAAAAGTAGCCATGGGGCAGGAAAGGAGCTCAGCCTCTGCCCTGTCACTGCGCTCCTGAAAGCACCCTCTTCGAGTCAAAAGAGGATGGAAAACAGGGAGCCTGAGGCACAGGAGAAGGCACTTGGGCGATGAAAACCCAGGGGAGGTGCTGAGGACGGATGCATTTTTTGAGGTTTTCCTTAAAAGCGATGAAAGGAGGAGATTAATATTAGGCTGAGGTTAAATGCTCTGTATCTCCAGGGATGCCCCGGGAGCTGTTTTTAAACACAGAAGTCACATTTGCTAGCTTTTTGCTCTTTCTGTAACAAAGATTGGCTGAAGCCATTGGTCACGCGCCACAGTAGAAAGTACAGAAGTTTCTTACTTAAAATTCCTCAGATACTTTGGCTGAACTTTTTCTGCTCCTGTCAATTACTTAGAAAGTGCTTCCTTAAAAATAACAAGTGTATTCTTTTATATGGAGTAATTTATTTTACTACTTGTTCCAAAGACACTAAATGCTGCTGCTTTGTTTTCTGAGTTTCCCCACTGACTTTGGGAAAGATCATTAATCATGAGTCGAATATAGTCGGAAGGGATATAAAAGGGAAAAAATATTCCTCAAAGTGCACACTGTAACACAACTTTTTTTCTTAAATAACATCAACTTCCTATGTGCAAATTTTCCATCACTTTGCCTTTAGTGCCAGCGTGAGCACAAATTTTCCTGGGTAGACGCAGTCCCCCATGTCAGAGAAGTTTTAAGTCAAAGTCTGGGAAATCTGACAATGCTAAAACAAGACATTAATTCCTCAGAAAAAGTCCAGTAGAAAGTTGGAAGCAATTTTGCCATTAAAAAATAAACTACAGAATTTATCACACCCTCTCACTAGGCAGGGCATGTGTATGGGGAAAGCACATGTGTGTGCCATAGATAAGAATCAATCAAAGTAACAAGAAAAGTCAAAATACCAATCTATTACAACAGGTCAGACAGAAACTTCCTTCTTAACATTTGGAAAGTTTGTGGGTAGACAGAGAGAGATGCCAAACGTTGCACTTGTGAGCAGTAGCTATGAGATAATCAAAACTGGTAAAAGAATATAAAATGTTAAATCACTATAGCTCTCACCCAAAAATCCCAATTTAAGCCACTGACAAAATTATAGCTTTATAAATTGCTTCTAATAGTGTTTGATAATTTGGATATCTAATATTAACATCCTGCTAAGTCCAGGTGTGCACAACAGTTCAAATGACAAATACATAAGGCACAGAAACAAAGCAGAGATGGAAGCCCTGAGGGCAAACTGCCTTTTTTGCGCTGCTGCCATTAGCAAACTGGTGCACATGTTTGGGGTTTTTTTTTGTAATTTACAGTTTAGGTTAGTATCCCTGTAACTCCAGCTATGCTGCTTGATTTAAAATATATCACTTTTAATGTCTCTTCACGTGCCTTTTTGGGAACTGGAGAGAATTTGGGCCTTTTCTTGTTTATGCTATGCATGAATTAGCAGCATTACTTCGTTACCGCCTGCAAAGCAAGCCCTGCAGCCGTGCCACTGGGGTAGCAGGGACCAGCACCACTGTGCACACCGGTGATGCTCACAGGATGTCTCTGACTGGGTGGCAGCACCGGCTGCTGGGACCCAGCATGGTTTCCCCATGTGGTGCGAATGCATGGTCCAGTTGTTCTTCTTCCAGCTTCAGCCAAATTTCAAGGAGTATTAAGGTAAAAAAAATTATAAAGAAAAAAATTCAAAGCTGTTCCAGATGACTCGCTGCCTGTAAGGTTCAAACTCCAAAACCCAGGCTCAAAGCTTTGGCCAGAGCTAGCGCTATGAGTTCAAACACTGCAGCTTTGTTCCAGATTTGATGCCTTTTCCTCCCGCTCACTTCTCTACATCACCTGTTCTACTGAGTTTGCCCACTGTGGAAAAAATTCCTACTTGCAGATCCTAAGTGGAGATCTGGCAGACTGGGAGCTCCCTGAAATGACCTGAAGTTACACCAGGGTTTCTCCGGTGTCTGTGGCACTTCATCGGGGGGTGTCAAGGCATCCCTCAGAGCCACAGCTTCACGGCAGCTCTGGGTCCTGCAGCCTTTTCAGCTCAAGTCCAGAGAAACTGCATCAGCCAAAAAGTGCTCTCATTCATAACAGGGATTAAATCCTACCAAATCCCACAGGTCTTGCAGTGTGAATATGACTTCACGTTCGGCGAGGTGACGAGGTGCTATAATTAGCCAGGCCATACCCAAACCTTAAGATTAGACCAGCAACACCCTCTCCAGCTCTAAACTGTGCCAGCAGGTTTCGCTCACGTGCCGCTTTAAACGAAAAAGCAGCTGGTTAAAAAAAAATAATAAAAATGTCAAGTGAAATGAGTCCCAGTTGTTGTTGTTGTTTATTTTTTCTTGGAGCTCTCTGATGGGATGGCTGCTGAGCTACTGGCTGGTCATTCCTGCGTGGCTCCCAGCACCCAGCTCCTGCTGGGGCACGGCTAATCGTACGCTCCTCGGTGCCTGGCTGGAGGCAGCTGCCCAGCCTGGCCGTGCACCGTCATCAACACTCAAAAACGATGCAAAGCTGAACGGGGCACAGAACAAATGGGTTAGGAGAATGGCAGGGTTTGGGAAATGCACGCATGCAGGTCTGAGCAGATTTGTTGCTTACCTCTGCGGCTTTCTAAAGTTTGCAACATTCAGACGATATTAATTTGAATGAACCATCAGAATTTAAAGTTAGAAAAAAAAACCACCACTATATTTTTGACTTAGAACAACACATTCTATTATTTATAACAGTTACAGAAATTACATTTTAATCCCTTTCTGCATTACCCATCAGAGGACAGGAACAGTCTTGTTGCACAAATCCTTTCATGGAAATGTGAATTTTTCAGAGGGTTTAGCACACATACCCTGTCTGGCCAAGCCAAAGCTCATAAGCAGTTCAGATGCTTACAAGGGACATCCTGACAACTCCTTTCTAACATTTTCTTTCCTGGTGTATCCGTGGAGGAT